TCAAAGAGGACCATGACATCAGGAAGGTGATGCCATGACATGCAAGTGAATTGGATTTAAGTGAGGGAGGACTGTACAAAGTCACCAGCTTCATTCTTTCCTCTGGAGCCATCTGGGTCCAGTGGCAAGATATAGATCTGGAAGACTGGAGATAGCCCCAGGTGCAGTGGGAGACCTTGGCACTTTTAAGCTAAGGTCTTCAACAGGTTTCAGTTTGACTGAGGCAATGCCCAATCTGTGATTAAGGCTAGGTAAGAAACAAGGCAGAGAATGGCCTCTTTTACCTAGTCAAAAAAAGAAAAATCAGTTTGGGAGGGGAAGATTCTCAGGGTTTCTATTTCTAGCCAAAATAGAAACAACTGCTATTTATGTTCACCCTGAGCCAATATGGGCCCAAATAATGGCCAAGTGGGGTTTGCCTTGGGACCTGTTGTTGTCCAATCAATGAGAGCCAGAGTGATTTGGGTTTAAGGCAAGGTCCTTAAGAAAGAAACTTAGTCTGTAAACCCCTAGATATCTTGTGAGGTTTCAGCCATCAAAATTTCCATTCCCTTGGGCAGAGTACCCACAGTTAAGGGCATAACACTGCATGTGGCAGAGGGAAGGGAAGGGAAAGAAGAAAGAGAAAGAAATAAAGAAAGATAGACCTGTCCTCAGTAGGGCAGCTCCTACTACTACTCACAAAGGTTATTGTCTATCCTTTGTTCTCAAAGAGGACCATGACATCAGGAAGGTGATGCCATGACATGCAAGTGAATTGGATTTAAGTGAGGGAGGGCTGTGCAAAGTCACCAGCCTCACTCTCTCATTTGGAGCCATCTGGGTCCAGTAGCAAGATACAGATCAGAACGACTAGAGATGGAAGATAGCCTTAGAGGGAAGGTACTACAGCTAGAGCAGCCAGGAGAGGATCATAGAGGACATTATGGAAAGGGCGAGAAAAGGAGAAAAAGAATTGAGCTTAACAAATGAGAGCATGGACAGAGGCAGCAAAATAGAGGGAGCTTTTGCCCTGGGATATGTTGACTCTGAATCAATGGGATTTGGGGATCAAGAAGTACAAATTCGCCCACCTTATGTTCCAGTTTATTGGGGACTCTACCTTCCAGGGTCCTGTGGTTGTAGACAGTGTCATTGGTGTGGCATTTCCTTTCCGAATACCAAGAAACTGAGATTAGATGGGGAGTGGTGGCAGAGAATTCAGGATTGAGGTCTGGGTTGCCAGGGATGCAACGGATCTCACACTTGTCACCAAGTCCCAAGATCGTAGGTGATTGTTAATACCCATAAGCTCTCCCACACATGGAGCATACACTTGGTTCTGTGGTCTTTTTGACTTTTATTCTGGCATCTGAGATTGTATCAGGACCAGTGCTTTACCTTTCTTTGAGAACCTAAGGTTCTAGTTTTCTGGCTCCAGATGTAACGCCTAAGCTTCTAGGTTCAAGGTGTCACTAGTGTGGCACAAGGTCTTTAACTGTGGTCCTAGTCTTTCTAGCTCTACTTATAAAAATAATGGGGGAAGTTTAAAAGGAAGAAGAGAATCATACCCAGGGAGTTGGAAAGGGGAGATTATAGTACCAATATATAATTTAAGTTCTAACTAAAACAGTGCCATTTACAGGCAAGCATTAACTATGGATCTTAATTTGAATTTTAAGATTTAGCTTTTAAAAACAATTATAGAGTGAGAAAGATAAAGCAGTATAGAAGCTCTTAAAGTGGAATGGGCAGGTGTTATACCAAGTCATCAGAAGTAGGAAGCTGGAGTAGTATAGAGAGGCTTGCCGCTGCAGTGAGTGAGCAGGAGGGAGGTCACCACTGAAGGCAGGTGGGGAGTAAATAAAATGGAGCGTGACCAATAGAAGACCAGAGAAATAGAAGAATGAGGAAAAGGTTGAAACTGGGTTCTAAGAGAATACGTGGAAAAACTCCCAGAGAGGCGTTCTGCTAATGGTCACAAAAGTGTGACCTTTTGACTATCAGTCTCTTAAAAGACTGGGATGTCAGGATGGATCCTGCTCTCCGCTGATGTCTTTTTTTTTTTCCTGTGAACCTTTTGTGTCTTTCGCTGTTAATAGTGCCATGATCACTGATCCCACATAGGGCTTAATCAGAGTTTACCTGGAGCCAGATTTCTTCCAACCTTCATGGTCCTGGATATTTGATTTTTTTTTCCTAAGGGTAAGGCCGCATACCCAGCTCTCTCCACATCCTCAGCACCAGGGTTTTGACCATCCTTCACAGTACTATGATTTTCACAATGCTTTGTGGAGTTTATAGTAATTAACTTTCTCAGCATTTAATTTAGGTCAGACAAAGACAGGCTCAATCTTCAGTAACTTGATAACAGAAATAACATATATTAGATTATCCTGATAAATGCATTCCCATTATAAGCTACATTTGTTATCTCAGTAGTGTCTGTTGCAGCAATATCTTTGATGAAACTTTTTAGTTTTCAAAAGACAGTTTTACACTTAAATGACTGACAAAGCTTATAGAAAGACCACTGAGTTAAGGTCAGATTATAATAAATATGCATGATGCTGTGGTGTTCACCACATTACCTTACAGTGGCTATATACTGAAAAAGTCATCTGTGAGTTCCTTTACCCAGTGACTCAATCCATTATTTTAATATTTTAAAAATTACATTGTTCAGAGTACTGGTTAAAATTAGTTTTGTGGACTTTGCTTATTCTGGAACAACAGAGTTTTGTCAAAAGTTATTAGTTTCCTGCTCAATATTTCCTTGCTTATCAACCCAGTAGGTATTCTCTGAATGTGTTAAATGCTTAATAATATCTTGTACAACAGGGGTTCTTAACCTACTTCCCACAAATATTTTGATTACATTTCAATATAAATGGCTTCTTTTGTAACCCCTTGTACTTTATTTTATGCATTTAAAATGATCCATAGGCTTCATATTGCCAGAGGGATCCATGACACACCAAAAGGTTAAGAATCTCTTTTGTAGAGAGGGATAGCTGTTTCTAAGATCACTTTAAGAAACTGCATCTTTAAGGGTGTTGTGCAGGACTTACCTAGGAGCATTCTCCTTAAGGGTGGTTTTTCAGTATCCAGCAATGTGGATATTTACTAACATATCTGAAAATACCATGCAAATTTTGAAGAATTCAGTTTAAAATTATAAGAAAGCAATATATGGGACATAGGTATAAATTGTGGAAAATAAACACTATCACTTTAGTGTTCTGATACTCGACACAATGATTCACTGCTACTTAGACTAAGAAGTCTGATCAATTCTATTCACATTTGCTCGATTGTATTTTTAGTGTGTACACTTTCTGTGTTCAAACTGAGTTATTCTTCAGTTTATGAAATAGGTTTCTAAAAAATTGGATATAAATGAAATTTGTAAGTAGAGACATTTCTTCTCATATCAGTTGTGCCACCTGTTGTATGACCAATTTTATCAAGTCATTTGACCTCTCCAGTTTTGAATTTCCTGATATATAAAATGAAAAAATTAGAGTAGATGATCTCTTAGCTTTTAGTTTTAAAATTGTATCACATATGTAAAATCCTGATTTAAACTTAGAAAGAACTCAGAAAAGTCATTTCACTCAACCCCCTCAAGAACTGAGACTGAAGGGAGAAGCACCTTGCCTATAGCTATATAGGGAACAAGCAAAATTGGAGTTCAAACCCAGGCTGTCTGACTCCAAATCCAGCACACTTTGCACTGTTCCACCATCTATACCCAAACATTGGTGGAGCTTGATACACAAAAGGGATCTGATTGGGGGCTATAGCATCCACAAGGGCCCTTTCCATTTCTAAAATCCTGTGATTCCGTGATTCATTCAGTCTTTACTATCCATCTGGATTTTTATGTGCCAGATTTTGACTAAATCAGTGTAACATAGGAGACACAACTAGAGTTTTTGGACTCCAGCCTCTAACAGGTTCACTCTTGATCTGGGCAGCTAGAAGGACTGGAAGACAGCTTCGGAAGGGTTACATAATAATTTACTCTTATTCTTCTCTATCTCAATGGGCTCCTAATAATGGGAGCACCAGCAGGATCCCCTAATTACCTTTCTTGGAGGTGTGGTCGAGAATATTGGAGCACAACTCCTAAAGGTTCTCCTAAGCCTTGATGGGGGCCAGTCAAGGCATGAATAGCATTACACTGTGATTCCCAAAATCCCCACTCACTGACCAGTGCTTTCTTGATGTATAGAGAAGCACACAAAGAAGACAATTTGCCAACAATAGGCTCACAGTTTAACTTTAGTAATATCATTATAACTTAGCACAGTGAATATTACATTATGTTATTCCTATTTCTCACTGTGCAGTCACAGTAGAAGTTGTTTTGGCCATAGATCCTGGGAACTATTATAAAGGGTAACGAAATCCTCCTTATTTACAGTCAGGAAATACCTCATGATTCCTATCTCATACATCAAGAATCTTTTCAAATGTGGGACTTCACAGTCGTGGGTGTCACAGCAATATAATAAATCTATTGTTTTGACATTTCTAGTTTTCATTTGAATTCTGAGAATTAGTGGCAGTTTCTGTGTTAGTAGAAATGTTCACCTGTATTTTTAAAAATAGAGTAATTCAAAGAACTTTAATGATTATAAAGGTACACAGGAGAGTTAGAAAGAACCTAAGTCTGACGGGAGTGAGGAACCTGCGGCCTGGAGGCCACATGTGATCCTCTAGGTTCTCAAGTGAGGCCCTTTGACTGAATCCAAACTTCACAGAATGAATTAGGGGATTTGTTCTGTGAAGTTTGGATTCAATCAAAGGGCCTCGCTTGAAGACCTAGAGGGCCACATGTGACCTTGAGGAGGCCACAGGTCCCCCACCCTTGAGTCCTAAGAAATCATGTAGTCCAGACGAGTTAAAAGAAAGCAGTTGGATTCTTCTTTAAATAATGAAATGTCTTCAGCACAGTCTGAGTTAACATTTAGAAAACCTGAGTGAGGACAAGACTTGTACTTACTTTCTTTCAGAAACTACGTATTCATCATCCTACACTTGGCCTTAGAAGGGGCTGTTTATAGTGAATACACTTGGGAGATATTTCACTACTGTCTAGAACTGGAGTTCTCACTGTATCATCTTCTCCTGCCGTATCTGCTGTTGATTATAAACCTGTTTTTTTTCTTTTTGATTTGTACAAGCAACCCTGGTAAGTTGAAGTTGATTTTGATCAGTTAGTAAATAAGACAAAGAACAGAGTAATCAGCCCCTTTTCTGAAAGCCTACTTTTCCCACAAAGTATATATGTGAATATGGATATGCAAAGAGTCAAAAATCAGTAAGGGATCAGGGAAGTCAAAATGAAGGCATGCAAAATGGGACTTGTAGGAGCTAACATTCTCAAAGTGGATGCTCCAGGGTTAGGAATTCTGGAACACAGTATTGTGAGGAAATCAACGTATCCTTTCGTTTAAAAATTTCCCTATTTTAGGCAGTTAAGTGGCTCAGTGAATACAATCTTGGATTTGGAGTCAATGAAATTTGAGTTCAAATTCAAATGCAGGCATTTACTAGCTTTGTGACAATGGGCAAGTTACTTAACCTATTTCATTTTTCCCATCTGTAAATCAGAAATAATAATCATAGTGTCTACGTCCTATGGTTATTATGAAGGTAGAGTGAGATATCTGTAAGTCACTTTTAAAATTTTAAAGCACTTCTATAAATGGTAGTTATCACTATTATTGTTGTTGAAATGTTCTGAGGAAAAAAAGGCACAAGCTCTGCCATCAAGGGTATAGTTAAGTTTATAGAGAATGAAGGTTGCCTGTTCAGTCACATTTGGGTAGACCACCCATAAAGCTTGTCTATCAGTAATAATAGCTTAACACTGAGAAACATTCTTTGATTGCCTTAAGTATTTCATTATACAGTCTTCTAGGCAGATGGGAGATCTGTGATTGACTTCTTTCTCTTCAGATTCTGAACAAACAGTGCTGTTGTGAAACCAAAATTATGCCATCTCTGCTGATATAGCAGAGCCCAATTACATAGCCAATTTACATACAATTATATAGCCAGTTACATGGACCATCTCAGGTTTTCTCCCCAAGTGGAGAAATAGAAGATAAAAAGATCCTAGATTCAGAAGCAGAAAGCCCTTGGAAGTCATAGAAACTTAATCTTATTTATCCCTGATTAAGCAGGGTCTTTTCTGTATAGTCTCTAGCTTTTTATTATAGTTCAGAAACCAGGGCATCCGAGTGGCGTGTTTCACCGGTTTCTCACCCAAGCTAAACAGAGCGAAGGCACGGAGGAGCAGAACTTGCGAGCTGCTGCTGTTTGTTCACCTGGCCTATCCTCCTGCCATTTCAGAACAGTTTGTCTTGAAACTAGGGGGATAAAGTGAAATAGCCTAGATCTCCTCCAGCGAATCAGGATGGTTGTGGTTATCTTTGTTCTTGGATGACTTTTCCTGTTTCTGTGTTTCTTCTGAAGAGGCTGTGCTACAAGCTGTCCAGGTTCTTGAGCTCAGAGACTTGTGAGCCTTTTAGTATTTTCTCTAGCATATTTGTGTTAACAGTTATGGTATTGGGGTAGCTAGGTGGTGTAGGAGATAGAGCACTGGCCCTAGAGTTAGGAGGACCTGAGTTCAAATGTGGCCTCAGACCCATAACACTAGCTATGTGACTCTGGGCAAGTCACTTAACCCCAATTGCCTCACCAAAAAGAAAAAAAAAAGTTATGGCATCCTCATACAACTCTTCCCTTCTTCAAATATTATCAGATACCTATGTTTTTGGTATTCATTTCTCTTTCTCATAAGTGTATACTCACTTGGTATTTTCCTAAAACTTAACTCGGTGTACTGTTGACATTTTAGTATTCTAATTTTCCATTTTCAGTACTCTGGTAAATCTTGAAAGAATTCTTACCTTCCCAAACTAAGTTCAAATGGTAAGAAGTACTGAATTCCTGTGGGAACTGTCTATGTGCTGATAATAAATGTGATTTATTATCTAGGTCTTCATGGCAAATATCCATATAAATTGTTTAAATCTATTCACCCATTCTGACCAACACTTTATTTACCACTTGTCGCTCCTAAGCTTTGGCTTGCTGACTTTTTCTGGGCTGCTTTCTTTTGTTGTATTCTATGAGGAATTAAAAACTGTACCTACCTGTGTCTCATATCTATCAGGACTTTATCATCACAACTTCCCAAACACTGGGACCTAACACAGGCAGGGAAAGCCTGCCTCTTCCTGGCCCTAGAAGCCACACTTCTCAAACTCCCTAAAATCAATACTTACTCAACTCAGGCTGAACACAAAATCTGCTTTAAGAGTCTGTAGCTGGGCATCCTTCCACAGTTGTATTCACTCCTTATTACTCTGCATCTTTGCAAGTGCATTCAACAGCAACTGCATACTTCCTTCTCTCTCTCACTTCCCAGTCATCAGTATTCAGGGATCAGATCTCACATCACTGTGGAAAATAACAATTATCAAGAGAATACATTTTTCTCTCTGAAAGGGCTAATTAATAATTGCAAGTGCTGCATGTTCCTTGCATAGCTATGCCTTGGTGATTAGGGGCTTAACCCCTTACAGTGCCTCAGAGAGAGAATTCCATCCAATGAAAGTCCATCTCATAAGGGCTGAACAGCATTTCATTTTTGTTAGTGATTTCTTCATGTTCTGTGCAAGTTAGAGGGTGCCTCATCTGCCTGGTCAGTTATTTTCCAATTTTCAGCCTTCTTTTCTTCTCTACTTGAGCTTCATTGCTTTCATCCTTTTTTGTTTCCCTTGAACCTTTTCGACTGCTTTAGTCAGGGCCTGTTGTTGCTTCCTTTCCTTGACCTCCAAATCCTTCTGCAGTTGGGAGGTAATGGGTCCCCTTTCTTTGAAGGCCTTGAAGCAGCGGCTCAATGACTTGCTAGGAATGTCATAGGAGAGGTCTTTCTGCCAGGTAACGTCTGAAGACCCTTCAAAGCCTCACTGAGTTTCACTGGTTTCTCTGGCTGCTTTGTATGCTTCTATTTTTGTTTCACACCATGCCAACCTCTTTGAAAGCGGCGCTTATGTTTTATACATAATTTAAATTCTGTGTAACATCTGGCACACAGTTGGGCCAATCAATACTTGAATTAATGATCTGACCATAGCAAAACACTTGACTCCCCATTTCAGTACATTCAAGGATTGTTTTTCCATGAGCCCCTGGCTTCCAAAGCTATGCTTTGTAGTAGCTTTGCTGACTCCTTGTATACAAAGAATACTATTTTGTGATGGAAATTATTGCTTTTGTTTTATAGGGATAATAACAAAATCAAATGAAGCATTACTTCTTCAAGTTTATGAATATGATGAGGTGATCTTCTTGAAAAACATGAAGTGCCCTACCTGTGACTTGAGGAAACCAGCAAGGTCAAAGCACTGTAGTAAGTGCCTCTTAGTATTATCAAACCTGGTCCAGCAAAAAAAAAAAAAAGATTTTTCAGAGGAATCATTATTACTGCTATTTTTGCTCAAAAGGAAAAAGTTTGAGACCTGGGAAACAATGAAGCAAGGCTGAGAAACCTCTAGCCCTTGGATTGCTTTCATCCAGATTGCAAGGTGATATTGCTTTGACCACTGCTGCTACATACAACTCAAAGAATAATATCTCTTCTCAACTGGGGTGGATATTAGCAGAGCTTCTAAGAGTTTATTCAAGACAACAATTTATTTCTGATTAGATTGTGTATTTTTAGCCTCACTAGGACCAAATTAGAATTTTTAAAAGTGCAAACAGCATATTTATACATGTCACATTTTTGCAACTCTGTGTATGTAGACAGAGTGGGTATTTCATATGTCGGGCAAATTTGCTGGCTTCAAAGTTTTATAATTCCAGTTTAGCAAAAAGGTATGGATGTTTCCTAGAGCTCTAACAGAAGGGGAAAGTGCTGACGAATCTTTAGAAGGGCTTTTATATGCTGTGTAAACATAGGAAGAGGGAAAATTTGGGTACTATAAATTGAGAGAACAATGCAAAGGCAAGAGCCAAAAGTATAGGAAACTATCTAGATTTGGAGTCTTGAATAGGCAGGCTAGGGGTCAATATCCAGAGTTTCTTTTACACCTATCTGGAAGGCTCAGGCAGAAGTACTATCCAAATTCATAGGAATCTTGCCGATGGCAAGGAGAATAGTCAAGAAGGAATATAAAGAATAGTTTCTCACAACCCAGTATAGTCATGTAAATCCATAAAACCTAAGCAGGGACTTTATACTCTGATTTTTAAGCATCCTTAAAGAACATTAGAAGCAACAACATAGTATAGTGCATAGAAAGACTTCTTCAGAGTCAGGAAGACCTGTTTTCAAATTTTGTTTCTGACATATATTGGCTATGTGATCCTGGGTAGATCAGTCAGTCAACAAGCATTTATTAAGCACATGCAATGTGTTAGACACAGTGCTGATCCCTGGGAACAGAAGTAAAGCACTCCCTTCCTTCCCCCAAACATAACAGAACAAAAACCCATAGAGTCCCTACTGTCATACATTCTGATTGGGGAATCAGAAGGTAAATATTTAGCTACATACAGGTTATTCACAGAATATATGAAGGTAATCTGAAAGTGGAAAGCATTCATTAGTAGGTGAGGGAATTGGGAGGGACTAGGAAAGGTCTCTTCTAGAAGGTGGGATTTGAGCAGTACAGAAGAAAGCCAGGGAATCTAGATTGAGGCAGGGAGCAGAATATTCCAGGAAGATGGGAGTCTTACGTTTGAGGAGCTGAAGATAGGCCAAAGCTGTTGGATTGTCTAGACATCAGCGAGTGTTCATAAAGCTTTATTAAGTTTATTAAGTGTGCTGGGCAGAGCATGCAGAGGCAAGTAAGGTGTGAGAAAGCTGGGAAGATAGGAAGGGACCATAGCTAGCGTATGAAGACCTCTGAGTGACAAAGAGAGTTTATTATGTTTTATCCTGGAGGTAATCATCAGGAGCTGCTGGAGCTATCTTCCTGAAGAGGGGGTAGGGAGAGGAAGGGAATGTGGGGGTGACATGGTCAAGTCACTTAATGTCAGTGCCCTCCTTGCAGCTCCCTAAGACTAGAGCTGCAAAGAAGGTTCAGATCTGCAGTGGTAGAGGAGGATTCTCTTCAGGAACTCCCTATGTGAATGAAATCATAAGTCCAATTTAAAAATTGTATTGGGAGTCAGGAGAGCTAAGATCTATCCATGGTTTTGTCATCGGTAACTCTTCATGCCAACTTGGACAAGTCGCTTCTTTCTGTACCTCAGTTTCCTTATCTGTAAAAATGAGAAAGTTGGTTTGGTTGATCTTTAAGCAACCTTGTAGCTCACATCCCAGCTTTTAGAACCAGTGCCTTGGGAATGGAAGGTTTGTGTGGGTCCTCAGATGAGTCAGAGCTCAGGGTGTTCTTAGCGTAATAGATTTAGAGCCCAAAAGGACATTAGACGGTCTTGCCCTGCCCCATTATTTTACAGATGAGGAATTTGAGTCCAAAGTCACACAGCTAATCAGAGCCAGAATGTGAGCCCCTTCCCCCTATGACTCCAAACCTCATGGCCTTAACACTGTACCTTGTTGCCTGTAAGCCTCAGCGGAGGCCTCACTTCTTTTTTTTTTTTTTAGATCTAACTTTTCCTTTATTCTTTTTTTTTTTTAATTTTTTTTTCCCCATATGCTTTTGAGTTGAAATTTTTTTCTCCCTTTTTCTCCCCCCCCCACCCTCCCCAAGACAGCGCACAATCTGACATAGGCTTTACATTTACATACCCATTAAACATATTTTCACATTAGTGAAGTTGTAAGTAAAAATTAAAACCAATAGGAGGAACCATCAGAAAGATGAAACAAAATTCAACTTAAGGTAAAAATAAGTGAGAGCGATTTGACTTCCATAGTTCTTTCTTTGGATGTGGACAGCATTTTCCATCCCGAGGCCTCTGGAAATGTCTTAGATCCTCGTAATGCTGAGAAGGGTTCAGTTTAACATTCTTAGTCATTGCATAACGTGGCTGCTATTGTATACAAAGTCCTCTGGGTTCTGCTCACTTCACTCAGCATCAGACCGGAGGCCTCACTTCTTCTGAGCAGCTTCAGTTATTCTGAAACAGTAGCAGTAATTTGCATAATATGACATCACAATCCAGTTGCACCCTCAGAATTAATTTTGAAAAAAAAAAGTATGTACAATTCCAATTGAAAATTTTAGAGCCACATATAATATTGTTGCTTATTCTTGGTTTTTCTGTGTGTACGTATAGGTGTATGTAACAGATGTGTACATCGTTTTGATCATCACTGTATTTGGGTGAACAACTGCATCGGTGCCTTAAATGCAAGATACTTTTTAATCTACCTGTTGACATTGACTGCGATGGCTATAACCATTGCCATCATAACTACAGCATTTCTAATCCATTTGGTGCTCATATCGGATATGACATTGGGAACATATTTTGATGACCACGGACAGGAACAACCTGTTGATATCGCCTTTCTTATACAGGTAAGCATGCTTCAGTTTATAAGGTTTTCACTTGGATATGCTGTTTAAAAGGGACAAGTCCCCCCCTCCCCTATTAGACATGAAATTCTATCCTGTCACCCTTAAATTTAACAAATTATATACTAAACGTTTGTTAAGGATCTACTATATATAAAGCACTGTGCTGGATACCAGGAATATAACGATGTTCCTACCCTTGAGAAATTTATAATCAAATAGGAGGACCAGAAACATATGCACAGAAGTATTATTCAAGGTAGTACGTGTTAAGAGTAAAGGTGAACTCTGAAGTGCTGTAAGAAAATTGGGAAAGAGATCTCTTTCAGCTTAGTCAGAGTTGTAGGGAGAAGTGAGAGAGATATCACTGAGGTTTCATGGACTAGGTAGCATCTAACCTGGGCCTTAAAGAAAAAGAATTTCAGTGCCCAGAGGGGAGAGAGTACATGACAAGATCAAGACCTATTGGTAGTTCAGTTTGGCTGGTACTTAGGGTAAATGAAAGAAAGTAGTATGAAATTAAGCTGGCAAGTTAAATAATGGAATTAAGGAACTTGTATTTTATGCTCTAGGAAAGAGGAGAAGCATTGAAATTTGGGGGGGCAGGGGATCAGATGTTTTTATTAGAAAAATAATTTTGTAAAATGTATGAAGGATGCATTGGAAAAGAGAGAGATTGGAGGTGAAGAAATCAGTGAACAAGCTGAGAGGGAGAAGTAATTTCAAGGGAGAAGTAATAAGGACCTGGATTAGGGTAGTGACACTTTGAGTGGAGACAAAGGGGATAGATGAAGGCAATATTGTAAAGGTAGATTCATCAGGAGTTGATTATAGTGATTGGATGTGAGGGTGAGGGACAGAGGAAATCCAGAAATGATTCCAGGGTTTTAAGCCTTTTTGGAAAGATAGTATCACCATCTGCTACAAAAGCAAAGTTGAAAGGAGGGATAGATTTTGGGAACAAAATGTAAATTCAAATGGGGACCTTTTGAGTTTGAGGTGCTACATAACCAGGCTGAGATATACAGAAGATAGTTGAAAATGTTGGATTAGAGTGTAGGGTTAAATTCAGGGTTGGGTATACACATTTATGACTCATTTGCGTAGTTGTGATAATTGAAGCTATCAGAATGAGTGAAATCAGTAGGAGCATATAGAAAGAGAAGATAAGATGCCTGCAGAAAACTTTAAGGAGACACCCCCATTTCAGCAGTAGAGCAGGGAGGTGAAGCAGTGAAGGGGACAAAGAAGTGGTCATAAGACAAGTAGCACAAGAGTCAGAAGAGTGTGGGGTCAGGAAAGCTGCAGGAGGAGAGAATACTTACGAGGTGATCAGCAATATCAGGTGCTGTAAAACTGTGAAAGAGGAAGACTGAGAAAAGGCCCTTAGATTTAGCCGTTAAAAGATCAGTAGTGATCTTGAAGATATCTAGCAGTATCATTAGACTGGTGGAAGATAAAAGCCAGATGTCAGAGGTTGCGGAGTGAATGAGGAGGTAAGGAAGCAGAGGCAACAACAATAGACTAGTTTTCCTTTTTTAATTTTTTAAGATTTTTAATTAAAAAATCATTCTCAACATCAATATTTCCAAAAACAAAGAAGGCCAAAAGAAGAGAGATACATGTGAAAAAAGAATTTATTACATACAGTTTGTTTTTATTAATCAAAGCACTGGAATCTTTTTGTTTTCAGTTTTTTCTGTCATCTTTATTTTTAAGAATTTCTTTTTAGTTGAGATTTAGTTAAGAGTTTTGTGTGGCCAGTTCATTAACTTGTTCTTTTTCTCTTTTGTTGATGAAAATTTTAAGAGATACAAAATTTCCCCAAAGAATTACTTTAGCTGCATCCTGTGAAACTCATAATAATTATTTAATATAATTGTTAATATATTGTCTCTTTTTTTATGAAATAATCTCATTTCTGTAATATGTTCTTGGATCCACCAGTTCTTTAGAATCACGTTATTTAGTCTGCAATTAGTTTTTAATTCTTTTTTCAAGGGCCTTTTGTTGAACATAATTTTTATTGCATGTGGTCAGTAAATTATATATTTGTGTTTCTTTTCTACATATATTTGGTACCTCAATACTTGATCAGTATCAGACCTAAATAAGTCCTCAGTTCAAGTCCTGTCTCTGACAAATACAGGCTCTGTAGCCTTGGGCAAGTTACTTAACTTCTCAGTGATTGGTAAGATAGAGGGTGTTTCCTTACCCAGAAGGTTCCTAAAAGTGAAGTCACAAATCCAGTCTTTATCTCTATTCAATTGAACATAACAGTACTGTCAATGAGAGGCAGTATGGCACAACAGAGACAGAGCCAGCCTCAGAACCAGGAGTCCCTGGTTCAGATCCTGCCTCTGACATATATCGGGTGTGTGACCCTGGGCCAGTCACTGAAGCCCCTCAGCATTCTAGGGAACTCTGAGACTGACCTGCACTGAGACCTCATTTGGGTTTTCTTGGCAAAGGTACTGGGGTGGTTTGCCATTTCTTTCTCCAGCTCATTTTACAGATGAGGAAACTGAGGCAAACAGGGTTAAATGACTTGCCCAGGGTCACACAGCTAGTAAGTGTCAGAGGCCAGATTTGAACTCAGGTCTTCTGATTCCAGGTACAGTTCTCTATCCACTGTGCCACCTAGCTGCCACTCCATTATATTCTATTATATTACTATTCTATTCTAATATATTCTGTTCTATTATATTACATACTATATGTACTATACTACAGTTTGTTCAGCTGTTCTCCAATTGATGGATACCCATTTTGTTTCCCACTTTGTTGTATCTCATTCAATTATATCCATTTGTGGTTATATACAATTGGTATCACTGGATTAAAAACAGTTTGCACAGGTGAGTGACTTTTGGGGTATACTTCCACATTTCTTTTCATAATGTTTGTATCACTTCACAGCTGTACCAGCAGTGCATCAGTATGCCTTTCATTCCACAACCCCTCTGATGACTGTCCTCTTTATTTTTGTGTCCAAACTCTTCTTCTGTAAGCTTGCTTAATTTCTTTTGGTTATTTATATAGTCCTATGGAAAGTGCAAAAATCCAACCTAGAAAGAAAGAGCATCTCTAGCTAATTTTTTCCAGTGGTCAGTGTCATCTTTAGTTTACTCTTTTCCGAAGCTTTACTTCCTGAACTGGGGCCCTGTGCCAGAGTCAGCCTTGTCTCTTGCTGCCCTTTTGTGTGGGGTGGCCAGGCCTCTTTGATTTTGCTCTGAGTCACCTGGGTTCCTAAGTGGACTTTTACTTCCTGGGGTTAGGTATCCCCCTTAGATCTTTGGGGTTAGCAGCACTGGATCTTCAGGGCCCCTTCTGTGGCCTTTCAGGACATAATGATAGGGCACATCAGACCCCCTAATGCCAGGGGTATCCTTGTCCATCTTTGCATGGATGTTATGCTTTGATTGCTGTGTTTCCAAGGTTTCTGTTTTGAGTTTCCCACAACCATGGGGATTTCTACTTACTTTGGAGCTTTCTGATGGCAGGAGTCTGCTTTTGCTCATTCCTGCTCTGACCTGGCTCTCCACAAGCTAAGAGGCTGCCAGCTTATTCGCCTTTGCTGATAGCCACCTTTCCCATTTCACTCTTGGATGACTTTTTTGTGCAGTTCTAGGATGAAAGAAGTTGCTTACTCTGATTTCTCATTGGATGTCTTCGTCCAGGGTAATTTTTAGGTTTTTGCTCTAATAGGTATATGGGAAGTGGATGGTCCTCCTCTATGCAGGGGTCAGTCTTGGCCCGAAGTCTTTAACCATCTTTACATGTCCGTACCCCATTTCTCTATTTAAGTCCTGTGATGCAACTCTTTCTCTGCTTCACTAGCCTAGACAATCTAAACTTTGCTTGGAATGCAGTGTCATTTAGGCGTTTCTTTTTGTTACTTATTTTCCATCATTTACAATTTATAGACAGCCTTGTAGGATGAATGTAGAGCTTGGCACAGCCTGGTACAATGGAGAGAGCCCTGGACTTGGAATTAGAAGACTTGAGTTTGAGCTTTGATTCCATTTTCTTTGTGTCTTTGGCAGGGCATTTAACTTCTTTGAACTTTGTTTTCCTTACTCAGAAGAAAGGACTTGAACTATATACCTCACAGAATTGTCATGAGGAAAATGCTTTTGTAAGCTGGGAAGTACTGTCTATGTATTATACGTTAATAAGGAAGTTAATTAAGTAGATAACAGATGTTCATGGAAAATACCAAGACTAAATTGTATTGTAGTGTGGATGTTTCCATTAAAATAACAGATTTGCACCTTTTCTTCCCTTGCAGTATCTGTTCTTGACCTTTCCAAGAATTGTCTTCATGCTTGGATTTGTTATTGTACTTTGTCTCTTACTTGGGGGCTACGTATGCTTCACTGTATACCTGGCAGTCACCAACCAGACCTCCAATGAGTGGTACAAATCAAGTAAAGCCACGTGTCATCGGTGCCATAATTCAGACTCTGTTCAAGAAAAAATCAGTGCCTACAAGAACATTTATGCCAAGGGTGCTTGGACCAACTTACAGGAAATTTTTAAGCCAATTACAGATTATGAAAAAAAGAAATAAGTGTGGAGAATTTTAAAATACAAATTTGTTAATAAAATTAAAAGTACAAGTTCTTCCCCCTTCCCCCCAAGAGTTACTTTCCTAATTTCTTCAATATATTTATTAAAAAGTTTCCAGGGGCTATGAAAGCACTCCATCTCCTAAACATGTACCTTGTTGCCTCACTCATTTTCTGTAAAATGGGGATTATAATACACTACCTACCTCACAGGGTTGTTGTGAGGAATGCACTTTGTAAACCTTAAAGTACTATAGAAATGTGAGGTTATTGTCATTTACAAATATCATTAAATCCTGGCTAGTTGCCAAGTCTTGAGTATTTTACATCCTCTTTCATAAGTGCCCCTTTTCTCAGCTCACAAGCCCACCACTCTACTTCAGGGTGCTGACACTTCTTCCCTAGACTGTTACAATGCCCTTCATATCAGACTCTAGTCTGAAACCTTTTTTTCTGCATAGCAGCTGAAATAAAAAGGGTCAAGCCTGGCTATGTCAGTTTCTTCTGTTCAAAGGCCTTAAGGGGCTCCGTGTTACCTCTGTGATAAAATACACAAACTCTTCAGCTTGTTATTTATTGTCCTTCACTGTCTGACTCTGGCCTATCTTTCCAATCTTATTTCATATTATTTACCTTCATGCACTCGACAAACTCCAGCCAAATGAACCTACTTGCTTTTCCTTAAACTCTACATTCAGTCTTTTTTCTTCATACTTTGCATAGGTGTAAAGGTGTACTTACTGCCTGGAGTAGACTACCTTTTCACCTCTACCTCCTGGGATTCCTTCAAGGCCCAACTTGTGTGCCACCTCTTAGAGGAAGCCTTTCTTGATATCCCTAGTTATTATTCTCTCTTGCGTTATCTTATGTTCACTTATCTGTTTACTTCTTATGTATTTTATATCTCCTTGTATGTATGTGTATTGTATCCCTTCAATAGAATATCAGAATGAGCAAACAGATGTTGTTGAGAAGAATGTGAGGGGAGGGATCAGAAGGAAAAAGAAGGAAGTTAAAACCCCAGGATCAGGAGTAGGGCAAATGAAAGAGAAGAGCTACAACATAGTAGAAACAAACCATTTCATTCACAGTTCACTAATATTGGGCAAACTCTTGCTTTTACCATCTTTGTATTTGGAAAGGGGTTGAGGAGCAAAGAGAGGAAAAACTACAAGTGGACAGGATGGAGGGAAATAATTCAAAATCATAACTTTTTTTTATGAGATAAGCTCATCCATAAAATGGAAGAAGATGGATAAATGGATCAGAATACAGAATCCAAATGGTAATAGGAAGGAATTTACATAAGTTAGCCATGTATTAGAGCACCAAATACTTGTACAAAAGAAGAAACACTAAATACATCATTTGCTCATTGGTAGGTTGAGCCATTATAATAAAAGTTGTAATTCTGCCTTAGTGTGCTTATTAAGTACCTTACCAATCACAGTGCCAAATGATTATTTTATAAAGCTAGAAAAAAATAATGAAATTCATCTGGAGGAATAAAAGGTTAAGAATCTCAAGGAAATTAATGAAAAAAGTGAGAAGAATGAAAATCTATAAGTATCAGATCTCAAAATACATTGCAAAGCAATAATAAAAACAATTTGGTAGTGGTTAAAAATACAGAGTTGGATCAGTTGAATATATACACAACATACAGAAGCAGATGAACACGGTAGCATACTGCTCAGTAAGCCCAAATTCTCCAGTTACTGGAGTGAGATCTCACTATGACAAAAACTAGAAAGCATTCTAGCAGAAATTAGATATGAACTAATATCTCACACTGTATACCAAGATAAACTCCAAATAAGCAAGTGAGATATAAAAGGTAACATAAGCAAATTAAGAGGAGCAAGGAAGAAAAATCTGGATAAGGAGTTTGTGACTAAGGCAATAGAAGTCAGAAAAGATAAGTTATAAAAGAATGTTTTGATTATAAAATTTGGAGTTTTTGCACAAAAGTCAAATGCAATTAGAACTATAAGGAAAACAAGTAGTTGGGGAAAAATCTTTGTAGCAAGTTTCTCTGATAAAGGTCTCATTTCCGAGGTTGAAATTATAAGACTAAGAGCTATTCTCCAATAGATATATATTGAATAATAATAAATGATACGAATAGGCAGTTTTCAAAGGAAGGAATCCAAGCTATTAACGGCGCTTCAAATGACTAAGAGAAATGCAAATTAAATCAAGTTAAAGGTTCCACCTCACACCCAACAGATTGACAAAGTTGACAAAAAGGGAAAATGTTGAAGGGGCTAGGGGAAAACTGATACAATAATGCACCATTGGTGAAACTTTTACTTCATAAAATCAATACTTTTCATTCTGGAAAGCAATTTGGAATTATATCATAAAAATTACTCTGCATATCCTTTGACCTGGCTCTGCCAGTACTACTTCTGTATCCCAAAGAGAGCAAAGAGGAAAAGGATCTATATATACAAAAATATTTATTGCAGCACTTTTCATAGTCAACCCAAATTAGAGACTAAGGGGTGGTGTCCACTTAGGGAATGGCCACACACATTATGGCATCTGAATGTGAAGGAATATTATTGTGTCATAAGAAATGACAAAATGGACAGTTTCAGAGGAAGCTAGGAAGACCTCTGTGAACAGATGCAGTGGAAACATATAGAAAAACAACTTAAAGACTTTAGAACTGATCAATGCAATGATAAACCACCCATCTCTTGCCAGGGAGGTGATGGCCTTAAAATGCAGAATGAAACACCTTTAGACATAGCTGATGTGGGACTTTGTTTTGCTAAATTATGCATATCTGTTAAGGTTTTCTCTCTTCTAAAAAAAAAAGTTCATTTGGGGAGGCACAGTCCAAGGGAGAAATAAGTACTTACAAAAATAAATTTAAAAAAATAAATCCTATTATCCTAAAAAAAAAAAGTGGATAGAAGTAGGTTCTAGGCCCAATTCTGCCACTTACTGTATAGCCTTAACTAGTCATTTCAACTCTATGGCCTCAGTTTCCTCAGGTATAAAGGGATTAGACTAGACTCCTTACAATGAACTTCCAACTCTATTGTCCTATGCTTTTATGAGGTTATAATGAGTTACGTCTAGGTTCAAAATGCTTAGGTGCAAGAATACTAAGCCAAGCAAAACACAAAACATAGTGTTTTCTGGCTACTCCTCAAGTGGACTGTAACCATTTGCAAATCTTAAAGATGGGCCTTGTGCAAATAATTCTGGACTCACATTGGAAAATCCTGTCATCTATATATTGGGAATGCTATACCATTCAGTGAGGCATTGCATGTGATGTGGACATCATTACTGACTACCATGATAAAATAAAATGTTACATTTCTTTGAATCCTTGTGTCAATGTGACACCCACATCAAGTCTAAATAAACACTCTACTAAATATTGGGGTACAAAACAAGGCAGAAATAGGCTCTGCCCTCAAGAAGTTTACAATCAATTGAGGGAGATATTATGCAGATAAACATATACAAACAATATATCCAAGATAACATGGAGATAATCCCAGAAGGAAGGCACTAGCATTATGGGAGATCAGGAAAAGCTTCTTACAGAAGATGGGTTTTTAGCTGAGACTTGAAGTAAGAAAGGCAGGGAAGCCAGGAAGTGGAGACAAGGAAAGAGAGCATTCCAGGCATGGGGGCAGTCAGTGAAAATGCATGGAATCAGGGCAGCTAGGGGGTATTAGCATTAGCCCTGGAGTCAGGAGGACCGGAGTTCAAATTCAGACTCAGACACATAATAGCTGTGTGACCCTGGGCAAGTCACTTAACCCTGATTACCTAAAAAGAAAAAAAGGAAGAAGAAGAAGATGCATGGAATCTTGAGATGGAGTGTGTTGTGTAAGGAACAGCAAAATGGCCAATGCCACTGTATCTAGCAAATACTTCTCCAAAAAAGCTGATTGTGAACATTTTTTTTGGATTCTGAAGTCCTCCATGCCCAGACCTGTAAAACTATGCTGACATTTGAATGGAGTTATTTCCAGTGCTGTTACATCTTATGTCTGTATTTTGCAATTTTCCTGTATCATTTTATGTTTGTGTTCTCATATGGAACAGATGAATCTTCCTTCTAACATGGAAGCACCCCCAAATCTGTTGATGAAAGGCTTAATGTAAACTATGTGAAACATTAGCTAAAAAGCTAATTCAGTTTAAAGCAACATTAATAGAAATATAGTCACCAAAACAAGGCAAATAACAGGCCTATTTTATTTGCATTGGTTATAACACATTGTAAGTATAATGTCCATTTTTGGCTGAGAAATTAAAGAGTAACCATAGGAGGGCAGCTAAAATGCCATGAAGTCTGAAAGCCATGTCAGAGGAATTGGTTATGTTTAGCCTACTCATTGTCTTAAAATAATTAAAGTGCTATTATACAAAAGCAGTCTTGTTTTTCATTGCTCTGCAGGAAGGACTGTGATCTCTCAGTGAACCAGTGAGAAAGTTTTGGTTCAGTACAAAGCCGTCCAACAAGAGAACCATCTGTCTGCTGACATAGCGTATTTCCCATCACTAGAAACATTCAAATGCAGATATTTTCTTTCTCTGTTTTGACTCACCCTGGGTTAGAGATCAAGACCATATTTGTGTCATAGAAGGAATGTGGTAGGTCTCTTTCTTTTCCCTTTTACCACCCCAATAGTATATGGTAGCATAGAAATTAGTTGTTCTTTGAATGTTTGATAGAAACATCTTGTAAATCCATATGGTTCTGATTTGTTTTCCCCTTTGGGAATTCATGTATGCTTTATTCAGTTTATTTTTCTGATTATGTTATTTTAGTCCTTTATTTCTTCTATTAATATGGGAATTTTATATTTTTGTAAATATTCAGCCATTCAATTTAGTTGTCAATTTTATTGGGCATATAACTGGGCAAAACAGTTCTTAATAATTTCTTATATTTCTTTATTAGTTGTCAATTCCCTTTTTGCTTTTGGTTCCACACCTCCCCCCCAAAAAAAAATAGCTTCTAGTTTTAATTGGATGAGGTTTTTTTGTATGTGTTTCAATTTTGTTAGGCTTGCCTTTGTTTTTCAGAATTTCTATTTTATTGTTTAATAAGACATTTTTGGTTAGATTTCTGTTTTTTTAGTTGTGTGCTTAATTTATTGATCTACTTTTCCCTCTTTCATTAATAAAAAGTGGTTAGAGATATAAATTCCCCCCTAAGGATTGGTTTGGCAGTGTCCAAAAAATGTTGATATCTTGTTTCATCATTAGCTTTAAAGAAATTAATGATTATTTCTAAGATTTGTTTGGCCCACATTCTTTAGGATTGATTGATTTGGTCTCCAATTAATTTTTAAATGTTTCATCAGTGGCTCTTGAATATAATTTTTATTGCACTGTAGTCTATAAGAGATGGACTCAATATTTCTGCTCTGCATATGTTTGAGAGGATTTATGCCTTAAAAAAATTATTGATTTTTGTGAAAGTGCTATGCACAGCTGAGAAATATGTACACACATTTCTTTTTTCATTCAATATTTTCTAGAGACCTTTTATATCCAACTTATCTAAATTCTATTTGGGACCTTCACTTGTTGTTGTTAGATTTATGTAGGTCTGAGTGGGAGTAAATTGAGGTCCCTCATTACTAAGTTTTACTATTTCCTCCCTATAATCCATTTAACTTTGCATATTTAGATGCTGTACCTTTTTTGCACATATTTTAGCACTAATATTAATTCACAATGTAATTTCCCTGCTTTTCTCTTTTAATTAGACCCATTTTTGCCATTGATTTGCCTGAGATCATGACTGCTATCCCTGCTATTTTTAAGTTAGCTGAAGCATAATAGATTTTGCTCCAGCCCCTTATTGACTCTGCATTTTTCTGTCTTAATTGTGTTTCTTGTAAGCACCAGCTTCTTGGATTCTGCTTTCTAATCCATTCTGTTTTCCTCTTCTGTTTTATGGGTGGTTGCTTTCCATTCCATTCACATTCACCATTACAATTATTACCCATGTATCCCTCCACCGTATTCTCTGAAATAGTTTTCCTTCTCTTTGTGTCCTGCTTCCTCTTTATTATTAGTTTATTTTGCTTAACATTAATCCCTTCCTTAACCTATCCTCCTTTTTATTTCCCTCTTTCCCTTATCCCCTTTTCCTCCTGTTTCCCTGTCAAATGAAACATTTTTGTATCCAATTGTGTTTGTGCGTGTGTGTGTGTGTGTGTGTGTGTGCATTTTTCCTTCATTTGAATCATTCAGATAATGGTGAAGTTCAGGTGTCACCCACTTCCTTCCACCCTTCCCACTTTGTATAGATGTCTTGTGTACCCCAATTATGTAAGATAATTTTCCTTAATCTTCCTCTCCTTTCCCATCCCACCACTGTATTTCTTTCTCTCCTTTTCCATTTTTTTTAAGACCATCAAAACAT